TCATAGGAAAGGGAGAAGTGAGCCCTAAGCGACCACGCCAAGAACTGTATTAGCTGGCGGACAAACAGGAGAAAGAAGGACTAGCCGATAGCGATGGGTCTCCGGCGTGCATTTTTTAAATACGAGCAATCCATAAACGGCGTATTCTGAAAAATAACAAAAAAAAAAATATTATTTACTTTAACTCAGAGGATTCAGAAAAGAAAGTACAGAAGAAAAAACAAAATTTTGATGGATGGAATAGAAATAAACGTGATATGAGAACAAACGGCAAGGCTATTGGTACAGGAATCTGAATCCGAGGAAAAAGTAGAAATAAACCAAAAATTACGCAAAAAAATAAGAAAAACACTAAAAAAAACGCGGTCACCCCAAAATGAATATTATAGTAAGCAATTTAAAAACAGAAACAGACACGGATGCAACGGATGAAATCATTTCACAGGGGCCGATGAACGATGGATTAGCTTATATACGAAGGGAGGACCGAATGCAACATATGATAAAATCAACAAACACACCAGAGATCGAGAAGAATGTGGTCATACCAAAGGGACGGAAAACTCGTAAGCGTCAGTTAGATACACTTACGAGAAAGTAAGCACCGTTTTCTATTACAGAACGCAACGAGAGACCGTTAAAGGATATAATTGTTGCAAATTGCAAAACACCAGTAATAATAAATAGTGCATAAGGAAATCACGGTACGGGACTCGATGATGAGGGCTGGTAGCTGATACAAGCAAGCTTGGCGCCTGAAGAAGCGAAGAAAGAGAAAAGTAATGGAAAAATGATGGACACCCGAGAATTAACAGAAGCAGAATAGGTAACGGGAGAAAAGGTGTTTTCGAAGGCAGAGGCGTCAAAGTATCGGAGAGAGCCGATCAAGCACGAGAGAGATCGAAGGAAAAAGAGAGTGAAGGAGAGCGACCACAGTACGAGCATAAAGCAAATAAGCCGCTCACTTGCGGTACTAATAAATATAATAAAAGGGTGCAAGGAAAAAGCAATTATTGAAGGGACAGAATGAAATTAAGCACGACATGGGAATAGAATGCATAGGTTCAAATACATCAGATGATAAAGAAAAAATGGCAAGACCGATCACTACTGCAGGAAGTGATCCTAATGCCTAAGGAATAACGGACGGAAAATTAGGTTATATTATGAAAGAACCAGGATTTAGAAGGAAAGTAAAAACGACAAGTATGGTTGCAGCAGTACTAATCGAGGAAAGGAAGCGAAAGTTAAGCAGGAGACAGCTGAATGCATTAAACAGATGAAAGCCGAATTTTTTAATTATGCCGCTAATAACGAGCCCGTCGAAAAAAGTAGTAATACCTAATTGTGACACATTACAAATATCGAATAGTACAACGGCACAAAACACGGAAGAAGAAGAACGCAGATCAGCAAAGTCCTCAGGAAGCATAGAAAAAAACTTCACTCCAACAACAGAGGTGGGCCAGGAACCGGATGTACACGATTTGCTGGAGAGAAGATCAGACGAACTGCGGGCGCAAGTTATGATCGACGTAGGCAGGCGAGGTGTAAAGGGAAGGCTGGTAATGAGGATTGACGTGTGAGAGCCCAACGAAAACAAAAGAAACAGACCCAACGTTGCTAAAATTTGTCACGAAATTAATGAACGAAAAATGTAACAAAAAAATTAATAATAAAAATAATAATAATAAGAATTATGTAACAATAATGATAACAGTAACAATAATATAATAAACAAGTAGTGGTACCAAAACAAAAACGAAGCGCTACAATCTACGAGAAATAAAATAACACGTACAAATATCACAAAAATTAAACTGCAAGCATGGAATATGCAGGGTCAAATAGATGAAAAAAAGAATGAAATAAATTAAAAGGAAGAAAAGAGTCCAAAAAAAAAGTCGATTAGATTTTAGGTATCGCCAACTTATTGTCGTTATTGCTGGATACCGTGATCCCCTAAAGCAATTGCATCCACGGCGTTTAAAGACCACCACTTCCTTTCTCGAAGATAACTTAAAAACACCTTACTACTCTCAACAATTCCATGATAATCATGCCGGCATGGACCTCGAGCAATCGAAAGCGATTCTCGTATCCTGACGGAGGCCCACGGACTGCGAAGTGAACTCCCTTAGCTGGCGCTATCCGGGAGAATATAAAGCCATCAACGCATTGGAATCCACAAAAAAACCAACGTAACGGATTACCCGGACGCTAAGATGGCGATAGAGAAGTAACCAGCAACGCTGCTCAAAACAACAATAACAACTTCTGCTGAAATAAACTCACCCAGCACCTCAGGGCGTAGGACACAACAAAGAACCGGGGAAATTGCGGTGGCTGACAACTACCAGAGTAATGAAGCAAAAAAAAAAAAAAAAAAGAAACGGAAAGGTAGTTAAATAGTCACCCACTGGGGCAAACATAGTGGTTACGGCACGCAAAGTAAAGTGTACGAATCGACAAAAAGCCACAATACAAGCTAGCAAAAATGGAGAAAAGAAAGTGGAAAACAATAGGCACTAGTACCGTCGTATTATTGAAACCAATAAGGCTATATTATAATTCCCTTTCCGCGCATGAAGGGAGGGGGAGAATTTGATGAACAAGAAATTGGACTGACTAATGTAAGCCAATTGAGCCTCTGGCACAAGATTAACAATCTTTCCGGACTCTCGTTTGTTGGAATATTATAATAATTTGATATATTGATGGAGTGTACTTATTGAATTACCGAAGAGAATGAAGAAATATAAAAGAAAAAACAACAAATTAGGGATAATACAATGAATTAAAAAAAAAAGTAACAACAAAGTGAAAAAAAAAATGAAGCACACGGCATCAAGGAAACGTAGCCGTAGAAGGAGAGCGAGGAATAAATATATGTATACTGAATAGCGTATGCCACAACATAAGATAAGAAATAAACATCAGTAAAGAGAGTGCGACACTTTCAGCTGAAAATAAGCACACGGTTCTTGAAAGGTATAATGCATGGGTCACGTCATATTCAAGTAAATTACCTTCCAGGTACATACAACACAATAAACATAACACGAACACTACTCCATCACAAACATACAAATCAAGAAAGAAATTACCACCGAGGACGTCGGCGTCGCGGCCTCGGACGTGTCACATACTGTATCATAGCTACACGTGCGTGCACCCCCTCTTCCTAGGGGCTACTAAAGACGATTGTAGTGGAAGAGAGCAGAGAGATAAGTAGTTAGGATACTGGAAGGAGCTCTCTCTTTCTCTCTCTCTCTCTCTGGTTAGAACCGACAAGGACGAAGGTCTCACACACGTGACGCGCTCTTCTCTCGTTTAAGATAAATAAAAGAAGTTGATACTAGTTCCTCGGCTTTTTACTTCATGCGCACTCCAAAGCCATAGAATCCTACGAAACAGAATAATCCTTAAAAAATTTCTTATCTTACTGTTACGTTAGAATAATTATTTGATTACATGTTTACAAACATTTTAGAAATTTTTAATCCAGTCTTCCCAACTTGACAGAAGATAACTACTTATCATTTCTAAATTTTCTTATGTTTACCGGATAATAATTACCAGGATTAACATAATAATTTTAAAATGCGTGAAATTAAAGTAAAAAATCGAATTTATGGAATCCGTTCGGTAAAAAACTTTAATAAAAACTTTACAGAAGAAAGCTTTTTTTCTTTTTTCTCGAATTTTGGAATAACGTTGCATCTCTTACTTGATTGAGTATAAATTTTGAATAGAATTGTTTTTTATATCAAGACGGAACTGTGTTTTATCTTTAAGTTGAGTAATTTTCTCGAAAATTTCCAATCTATTCAATTTTAACCAAGAAGTAGGTGGCATTTGCCAATATCCTATAATAGTATAAATTAAGGCTTTCTCAAATAATCATTTTTTTTATTCACAAGATATCCTTACGAGTTTATAACTTTAACCGTAAAGTAGGTATTTTCGTCAGCGTCATGCTGCTTCCCTTAAATTTATACATGTTCTCTCATTATTATTTCAAATTTTTTATCTAAATATTCATTGTAAACATCACATTTTTCAATTCGAACATATGCTGTGCGTCTAACATAAGATATAAAGTGTTAAATGTACTTTATGCTTCGAATAGATGCACAGTACACAACTTTCGCGTGACATGTGTTTTATGAAATACAACTAACAAACTAATACAATTTCCTAACTTATTAATCATGATCAAGTTTTCATTTTTTGTTCTGTTAAGATGATTTTTAGACGCATTATTATTATTCATTTTTCCCATAACGATTGTTTTTTCTTCATCATTCTTACGTTAGCTAAATATCTGAAAAAACTTTTACCGATTATAAGGTCCATAAGTCAAATTTTTATTAATAAATTCTCTAGTCTTCTATTGTTTAGATTACTTTATCAGATGTGTATATAAGTTAAAGTGATAAATCTAAAAATTAGGCCAAATACGCTTAAATTGGTGCAGTAGGATTAATGGGATTTTTGTATTTAGTTTGTAACACCGTCCAGAAATTTTGTGAACATAGTTATTTTACGCATTTGGAAATAATTCAAAATTTTCTTATTATATTTATCTGGGATTTTCCACGTATAATAACAACAATATCAACAGATTTTTAGTCTTCTCTTCATTTTCAAATCGTTAAGCAATATTTGGGGCACTGTTGTTTATTGCCATTGAGAAAATACTAGAGTAATAAACTCTGAAAATTTTTCCATATGTTTTAACGTGTTTTGCCAGTGAGTTTGTTCAGACAAATTTTTAATAGGGTTTTCGTAACATTTCGGGACCATGTTTTGAAAACAGTTAATTTTTAGTCTACTTTCTACGGCAAATATACATTTTCAAAATGCTATTTTCAAACTGGAATTATTTTTAAAAGTGTTAGTATAAAAACATGATATTCAAGGCATTTACAGCTCTAAGTACATGTATAATTAAAGAACACCGTTTATAAATATATGTAGTAGCCAATAAATATTACCTCTGTTATGTAATTGTGACGGCTTGCTGTGAAAATATGTTTCACTGTGGCACCATGGGATTTATTAGAAGAAATTACTCCTCTTTGGTTAAAATGAAAATTTTTTTGCGGTTTGGTTATACTTGACACGCGAGAATTAAATTTGACATTGTTACAACCATTTTCTGTTTTGACCAATAAGCTTGGTGGTGGTTTTAAGTGGCCTTTCAATTGATCTCGATTTGGAGAACTGGCGATCACCTACAACAAAAATAGCTTAAAGAGATATGTTTTAGATGAAGGGTTATAAAAAATTAAATAAATTATTTCCTCCTAATGAGTACTATTTTGTTACTATAAGATAAGTAGCGAATTTCGTATGTTTCAGTTTTTAATTTTCAATAAACAACTAAAGATCATATTTTTCATTACTATCCAGCTTTTTGATTAAAAAAAGGATAATGGCATGTTTTCAATATTGAGTTACTTAAAATACATATTATTCTCATAATTTTAGGTGCAAGATGTACTGTTTTTTCTGGTATCAAAAATTGTAATTTCTCGTAAATCAACAGTTTATACTATATCTTCGTCTGAAAACGTTTCTTTGCTGATTTCAGAGACAAAAACTTAACAATTCTCCTAGGTAAAAACTCTCATTCTTTGCTTATAGAAAAGTACTTTGCCATAATCTGCATGTTTCCGACCTTTTCCTATGACTCAAGAGGCAATTTCTATACAGATGAGTTAAAAAAAAGTTTTTTAGTAGGTAAATAATCTTAGCTTTATCTGGGAGAATAAATTTTACCCTACACTATGAAATCATAGGAATAACGTCATACTTCGAATAAGAAAGGTGAAAAATCGTATCCGCTACACAAGACGTAAGTACGGCATTGACTTCCACGTGCTTGCCTCCTTCGCCTTCGGCTCGGAAAATAATGCCATAATTTTGCCCCTTCTGTTCTTTGAGTGCCTATGATATAGGCAAAATAATAATTCTTTTCCCCACAAAAAAGTGAAAATGGTAGTTTTCCTACGAGTTTGAAAAGTCTCTGTTTGCGAACCGAGAGGTTTGCGGCCCGAGCTGAAGGCGAGGGACGTAACGAGGTTCGTAAAGGAGAATTTTCGAACGAGTTCCGGAAAACTGCTTTTTCGCCCAAGGAAGTACCAGCCTCCCAAAACCACCCGAGGGCGGAAAATTAAATTTTGTAACTGGTGCCGCATATGACAAGCATATAAAATAGTCAAGTTTTATAAAAACTTCATTAGCGCAATCTTTCAAATATCTTTCTTTAAAACACCTTCAAAAGAAGATTTGATTAAAATATAAAATTTTATTATTTATTTTGTATAAAATATAGTATAATATATAGTAATTACCACCGAGGACGTCGGCGTCGCGGCCTCGGACGTGTCACATACTGTATCATAGCTACACGTGCGTGCACCCCCTCTTCCTAGGGGCTACTAAAGACGATTGTAGTGGAAGAGAGCAGAGAGATAAGTAGTTAGGATACTGGAAGGAGCTCTCTCTTTCTCTCTCTCTCTCTCTGGTTAGAACCGACAAGGACGAAGGTCTCACACACGTGACGCGCTCTTCTCTCGTTTAAGATAAATAAAAGAAGTTGATACTAGTTCCTCGGCTTTTTACTTCATGCGCACTCCAAAGCCATAGAATCCTACGAAACAGAATAATCCTTAAAAAATTTCTTATCTTACTGTTACGTTAGAATAATTATTTGATTACATGTTTACAAACATTTTAGAAATTTTTAATCCAGTCTTCCCAACTTGACAGAAGATAACTACTTATCATTTCTAAATTTTCTTATGTTTACCGGATAATAATTACCAGGATTAACATAATAATTTTAAAATGCGTGAAATTAAAGTAAAAAATCGAATTTATGGAATCCGTTCGGTAAAAAACTTTAATAAAAACTTTACAGAAGAAAGCTTTTTTTCTTTTTTCTCGAATTTTGGAATAACGTTGCATCTCTTACTTGATTGAGTATAAATTTTGAATAGAATTGTTTTTTATATCAAGACGGAACTGTGTTTTATCTTTAAGTTGAGTAATTTTCTCGAAAATTTCCAATCTATTCAATTTTAACCAAGAAGTAGGTGGCATTTGCCAATATCCTATAATAGTATAAATTAAGGCTTTCTCAAATAATCATTTTTTTTATTCACAAGATATCCTTACGAGTTTATAACTTTAACCGTAAAGTAGGTATTTTCGTCAGCGTCATGCTGCTTCCCTTAAATTTATACATGTTCTCTCATTATTATTTCAAATTTTTTATCTAAATATTCATTGTAAACATCACATTTTTCAATTCGAACATATGCTGTGCGTCTAACATAAGATATAAAGTGTTAAATGTACTTTATGCTTCGAATAGATGCACAGTACACAACTTTCGCGTGACATGTGTTTTATGAAATACAACTAACAAACTAATACAATTTCCTAACTTATTAATCATGATCAAGTTTTCATTTTTTGTTCTGTTAAGATGATTTTTAGACGCATTATTATTATTCATTTTTCCCATAACGATTGTTTTTTCTTCATCATTCTTACGTTAGCTAAATATCTGAAAAAACTTTTACCGATTATAAGGTCCATAAGTCAAATTTTTATTAATAAATTCTCTAGTCTTCTATTGTTTAGATTACTTTATCAGATGTGTATATAAGTTAAAGTGATAAATCTAAAAATTAGGCCAAATACGCTTAAATTGGTGCAGTAGGATTAATGGGATTTTTGTATTTAGTTTGTAACACCGTCCAGAAATTTTGTGAACATAGTTATTTTACGCATTTGGAAATAATTCAAAATTTTCTTATTATATTTATCTGGGATTTTCCACGTATAATAACAACAATATCAACAGATTTTTAGTCTTCTCTTCATTTTCAAATCGTTAAGCAATATTTGGGGCACTGTTGTTTATTGCCATTGAGAAAATACTAGAGTAATAAACTCTGAAAATTTTTCCATATGTTTTAACGTGTTTTGCCAGTGAGTTTGTTCAGACAAATTTTTAATAGGGTTTTCGTAACATTTCGGGACCATGTTTTGAAAACAGTTAATTTTTAGTCTACTTTCTACGGCAAATATACATTTTCAAAATGCTATTTTCAAACTGGAATTATTTTTAAAAGTGTTAGTATAAAAACATGATATTCAAGGCATTTACAGCTCTAAGTACATGTATAATTAAAGAACACCGTTTATAAATATATGTAGTAGCCAATAAATATTACCTCTGTTATGTAATTGTGACGGCTTGCTGTGAAAATATGTTTCACTGTGGCACCATGGGATTTATTAGAAGAAATTACTCCTCTTTGGTTAAAATGAAAATTTTTTTGCGGTTTGGTTATACTTGACACGCGAGAATTAAATTTGACATTGTTACAACCATTTTCTGTTTTGACCAATAAGCTTGGTGGTGGTTTTAAGTGGCCTTTCAATTGATCTCGATTTGGAGAACTGGCGATCACCTACAACAAAAATAGCTTAAAGAGATATGTTTTAGATGAAGGGTTATAAAAAATTAAATAAATTATTTCCTCCTAATGAGTACTATTTTGTTACTATAAGATAAGTAGCGAATTTCGTATGTTTCAGTTTTTAATTTTCAATAAACAACTAAAGATCATATTTTTCATTACTATCCAGCTTTTTGATTAAAAAAAGGATAATGGCATGTTTTCAATATTGAGTTACTTAAAATACATATTATTCTCATAATTTTAGGTGCAAGATGTACTGTTTTTTCTGGTATCAAAAATTGTAATTTCTCGTAAATCAACAGTTTATACTATATCTTCGTCTGAAAACGTTTCTTTGCTGATTTCAGAGACAAAAACTTAACAATTCTCCTAGGTAAAAACTCTCATTCTTTGCTTATAGAAAAGTACTTTGCCATAATCTGCATGTTTCCGACCTTTTCCTATGACTCAAGAGGCAATTTCTATACAGATGAGTTAAAAAAAAGTTTTTTAGTAGGTAAATAATCTTAGCTTTATCTGGGAGAATAAATTTTACCCTACACTATGAAATCATAGGAATAACGTCATACTTCGAATAAGAAAGGTGAAAAATCGTATCCGCTACACAAGACGTAAGTACGGCATTGACTTCCACGTGCTTGCCTCCTTCGCCTTCGGCTCGGAAAATAATGCCATAATTTTGCCCCTTCTGTTCTTTGAGTGCCTATGATATAGGCAAAATAATAATTCTTTTCCCCACAAAAAAGTGAAAATGGTAGTTTTCCTACGAGTTTGAAAAGTCTCTGTTTGCGAACCGAGAGGTTTGCGGCCCGAGCTGAAGGCGAGGGACGTAACGAGGTTCGTAAAGGAGAATTTTCGAACGAGTTCCGGAAAACTGCTTTTTCGCCCAAGGAAGTACCAGCCTCCCAAAACCACCCGAGGGCGGAAAATTAAATTTTGTAACTGGTGCCGCATATGACAAGCATATAAAATAGTCAAGTTTTATAAAAACTTCATTAGCGCAATCTTTCAAATATCTTTCTTTAAAACACCTTCAAAAGAAGATTTGATTAAAATATAAAATTTTATTATTTATTTTGTATAAAATATAGTATAATATATAGTTTGATGAAAGAGTATCAATAGTGTTGGCTTTTAATCGGGCTCCCAAATTTTAATCGAGGCTTTCAAGAAATCGACCACCAAGGGCAGCATTGTGCTCGGTTTACCTCTTCAAGCATTCATTAATAGCTACGTACATTAAATTATAAGTATGAAAGATAACTACATTATCACACAGTTGTCCTTAATAGGTAAAAGAGGAAACAGCCAAGAACAATGTTGCTCTACAGTAATCCTTTTTTTGATACTGATACTCTCATTCCATTAAGTTTTTTTTTGTTAGAGAAATGATCGCAAAATTTTTTTATAAAGAACAATCGTTTCATTTTTTTTTTTTTAGTAAAGTGGGTTCGCTTTCTTAGCCGAAGGCTTTACCTCCTGGACCCCATACAACCTTTGATGCGAAGCTTTGGTTAATGAGAAAAAATGTCTACTTGTATTAAAAAAACTCTGTCCATCTTACCGACCACACTTCTAAACTTGTATTATTTTTTTAAGATAAAATCACTCTATATTTTAAATAAATTATGTAATAGACGAGTTTCCGTTTTTCTTCGTAAGATTTCAATTAATAAAAACAAATACAAGTATAATTTTTGACTTATTGAAAACACGTAGAAGAAAGAACGTGTTTAAGAGAACTGCTGCAACAAAAGCAATAAATAAATAAAAAGTCAAGAAAATTAAAACGAAGCTTAAAAAAGTGGTAGAAGATGAGGAATAATATAACTGACAAAAATGTAAAAAAAGAAAGTGAAACATAATAACTAAGAAGGATTGAAAACATGTAGAATAGAGCAAGTAAGAGGTTAGAAAGACACCTTCACGAGGTATAATAAAAAAAGAGCGTGCAGTTCACTAAAAAAAAGTGATGTACACGTGATACAGTGAAAAAGTAACTAGAGATAGTAATTAGTGAAAAGTAGACAGTGAACACCCAACATTTAACAGTTAACAGTGAGAAATAAAAAAACAGTAATGTAAAGAAAAAGAGAAAGATTACGGAAGTCAGTAAGAGAGAAAGATACGGACAAAGATACAACAAGTGATATTTTTATTATTAACAGACTTGTTTCTTGTCATTTTCAACTACAGGTATATTAAGTCCCACTGCCTATGAAGAAGATTCCTATATCATTTACATTTGAAAGGCGGTAAGATAAGACATCCGCATTCTTTCTAAGAAATTTTCGGAAAGAACGGGAAAAAACGCAAATATGATATACACAAACAAGAAATAATATAAACACAACTTAAAAAATAAAAAATTAAAACTATCCTTTACTTCCAGAAAGAAAAAAAAAAATTAAAGTGAGGATAGCAACAAACTAAGAGATTGGATGAGCGAGATAAGAAAAAAAAACAGATAGCTTGTCAAAAACAACGGAGCAATTAAAAAAAAAAAAAAATGCAGCAAAAAAAAATTGGTGGATAAAAAAGAGACAGGAGTAGGCAAAAGAAAAAAACCCATGAAAGAGTCAACACACGAAAACAGATAATAGATCTAACCAAGTGGTGGTCTCGAATCAGTGACCAGTAGCAAAGGTGAACTATTTTATTTATGTTGTGTCTTTTTCTGGTAAGCAGTTGTTTGGCTTTGCGGAAGGATTTTTGGTATTTCCTGGTGTGATTTGAGGTCACAATTGAGAATTTTTGCTCAACTTGGTGCAGTGGTATCTATCTGTCTTATGAGAATTATTCTAGGGTCAGTGACAAGTGTTGACTTCATTTCCTGAAATCATTTAGTTGGTGGATGAAAATCTCCGGTTGTTAAATTATCAACCAAGAAATGATATGCCGACCGCTTTGTTTGTCATTCATGGAGTGTTGTTTGTTGCGAGTTCTTTTTTTAACGGGTATTCATTCAGGTTCGACGTTATTCATGTTGTGGTTTGTACAGTGGTACAACCCGTCCGTATGTAATTCATCTACGTTGGTCAGTTTGATTTGATTTTTGATTTATAACTGAGAGACTCAACGCAATTGTACTCCAGTTTTTCGTACAATCATTTTTTTTATTTCATAACAGTCTTGATTTTATATGGCTCCATCTAATTATTTTTTGTTGTGAATATGATCGCCGATATCTGTATTGTAAGCTGAGTTGACATTGTTGACTATGATATTTTGTTAGTGTATAAGCTTCAAACTAGAAGAAACAAGGCGGATTTCGAGTATATTCAGGGATCTTACGGTTGAGCGGGAGACCTTTGAGTGTAAAAAAAACAAGTTCGTCCGTCGGAGGTTGATGAGTTAGGATAGCTGATATATAGAGGGGTTTTCACAAAACTTTTCCTGTGTTAAACAATACATTCAGAACTATGAATTTTTATTCTCAGTGTTCTCTTATTTTTGCGATCTGATTTTTCTCACTTTAACAAGTCAGATTTTTGACACACGTAATTCTCAAACGATTTTTGATTTTCAGAATTCGTTGTATTTTTGTGTATTATTCCGCTTTACAAATAAACAAAAATTTCTTAGAAATCGTTGCTCTTTAAAAAAATCATTATCTCCTAAAAAGGATAGGAACTTAAGTTTACTTTGTTGAAAAAAAAAGAAAAAAAACACACGTGATAAAAAATAATTGAGTAAGCGGAATAATAAATTCCAGTCGTTTAATTTGACAAGTGTTGAATAAACGTTGAGAAGATTAATGATTTCGATTATAACTTGTCTTTCTATTAATTTGCCTGTATCCTCAACTCCTCCGCCCGCCTTAGTTTCATTTTATTGTGCAGCCCACTTTGGTAGCTCCCTACAATCCATACCCTTAAAGGTGAACCGTTGCAATATATGTGACGTTTCACATCTCTCGCGCTTCAGGCTCTACTCGCCAGGTGGCCGAGCCCCTAATAGTTCGCTCCCGTCAAGCGGCGGAATTCGCGCACAATTCATATATAAGCGCAATCGAGTCAGTCTAAGCCCACACCTCTTCTGTGTCTAAGGAAGGGAGCACGTCATCAGCTTTACTGATGAGTCCTGGCGTGCTCTCGGGACGAAACACCTTTTTCTCCCTCTTATAGAAGACCTCTCGATCTCTATATTGGCGATCCTACCCTTCGAACCTATACTTCTACATTGGTGACCCCGACAACGAACAAACGCGCAACTTTCTGATACTCTCACGCATCTCCGCATTATCCACGCCGGGTACACGCTAACGTTGCTAATCCCACGCAATTCGCTCGAACCTCTTAACGATGCACACATTTCGCACATCGCACCACTCGTTCACGCACGGCAACGCACCCCGCATCTCTCGCAACGGAGCGTGGAAAACCCGGAGATCCAACGAGACCCTCAACTCTCTTTCTTAACTTCTCTCTCCCTCTCATGCCTTCACACCCTCGACTTTCATATCGTCACTTCCTCCCGTTACACCATCGTCATGACTAGGCGGGGAGTGATGTGGCGTCTCACATCCCTCGCACTTCAGGCTATACTCGCCAGGTGGCCAAGCCCCTAATAGTTCGCTCCCGTCAAGCGGCAAAATTCCCGCACGATTCATATATAAGCGCAATCGAGTCAGCCCACACCTCTTCTGTGTCTAAGGCAGGGAGCACGTCATCAGCCTTACTGATGAGTCCTGGCGTGCTCTCGGGACGAAACACCTTTTTCTCTCTCTTATAGACGACCTCTCAATCTCTATATATATACACAAAGTTATGGCAATTAATCTATACATTGATAAGGGTATTAGTACATTAAGTACCAGAGGAATCAGTTTGTTAAAAAAATAAGTAAGTAATCTGAAACAATTCTCATCATTCACCTCCAGATTGCGCTGCACACACACACACATCCACCCCCACATACACAGTGTATGCATACTACCGTGGGCGCAATGTGTGCTCAGTCTATATATGGGATGTTTCACGCGAAAC